TATTTTCTTAAAAAAGAAAAGTAGCTCATATTAACTTTCTATGTAGCAGACACTTTTCTAGAGACTCTACATATAGCAATTAATTTAATTTCCATCGCAACCTTATGGTAAATATATTGCCCCCATTTTATAGATGAAAAACTGAAGACACAAAAAGGTAACTTGCCCAGAACCACATAACTGGTGACTGGCAGTGCCAGAATTCAGACCCAGATAGCCTCATCCTAGCATCTTATTCTTAGCCATTCCGCTGCACACTGGGGGGTTAAGAATAACACTGTAATATTTAGTGAAAAGGGTCCATCCTGTAACCTTACCCCATTAGGGGTTGTATCTCTAGCGAATATGGGCCAGGTCTTCCAATTCATATCATGGCGGTACTGTCCATGCACTTGTTCTCCCAGACCGTACACGTTGGCACTGGGCAGTCGGAAAGAGAGCTGCAGGAACTGATCAGCAAACAGGAGGGGCCCAATGCTTGAGTCAAACCTAGACACAGACAGAAAACACCGGGACAGGTGGGAAAGTGGGGTGGAGAGAGCACAACTGATTAGAAGTGGTCCTGTCAATGACTTAATACCCCCTACCTAATGAGCCCCATTTGTCCTCCTTTGACATTTTTCCTTGGACACCTAGAAATCAGGACTTCCTGGGGGCATGTTCCATGTGGTACATTTCTTAGATTTGTCCCATAGACATTCTACCACATGACCTGAATTATAGTAGATGTTCCATAAACAGTTACTAGTAGATGAACGTGACTAGATAAATGGAAGGGGAAAAGGGAGGATGTGAGGAAAAGGACACATCCTAGTGACTAGTCTAAAATAAATACTTAGTAATAACAAAAAAGGAGTGATTATGGAAAGAGGAAGGTAGGCAAAGAAAAAGGTATATTCATTTGGAGGTGGAGAGTCTGGCCTCCAACATATTAACATGAATCCTTCCTCAGGCTTGCAAAGCTCCCTCCCCCTTCCTCCTCTGTTCCCCAGGTAAGTTTTCCAAACTTACAGGGTAGAATTGTTGCTTTTTCTGATCACTTTGATACTAAATGGCTGTTTGGAGACTTTAACATCATAGGTCGGGGAAGAAGCAGCATTTCCTTTGAAGGCTTGGACATGTTCATGCGGCACTTCATACCTGCCACCCTTTTGGTCAGTTAACTATCCAGAGAAATGAAGGAAAAGAAAGCCAAAATGAAAACTTGTCTGGATTCTCAAAATAGAAGCTTCCCAATATCTGTGCTCATGATACTGAAACTTGGGCACTGAAACTTGGGCACTGATCCAAATGGCATTATGTCTAAGGTGCAGGTATACATTACATTTTCAAATTCTGATGTTGAATACTTGTGCCTAAGCTAGTCCTTAGGTAGAAATACACACTCCAACTCTGAAGCGATGGAATATCTCTAGAATTTTCAAAGAAGTGATAATGTTTTTCCCCTCCCTACTATATTTCACATGGTATTAAGGGCAAATAAATGGAAAACAAAGTTCACCAGTAAACTGTAATATATATACTAGTATGAAGTTATCACACTGAAGGAAGGCTATGGATGCCTTTGACATACAGATGCTACATATGAATAATTAGCAACATTTTCTATTTTGTAGTAACTGCAGTCATTTGGGTAGAAAATAAGAACCTCTCAAAATAGATTTTTTTTTTAAAATAAACAAACCACAACCTTAAAGTGGAAACGATTGGATGTCTGATATTCTGCTGTGAGAAGGACATTGTTGACATCATTTCCAAACAGGGATGGAGAAGGCATCCTCTTCAACTGGGCTGTGAACCCTAATATAGAGAAGAAAAAGGTTTACAAAGCTGGCTGTGTACATTTATAAAAATAGACATAAAAATTAACGTTTATGTCAAAAAGGCTGGTGAAAAGCCTTTATTTTCCCCATCATGCACTCATATAATCTGATGCTAGGTACCGTCATTACCTTATCCAAAAAATATGCCTCTCTTCTACAAAACTGGATTGGAAACCTCTCCCAAAAGGCCTAACTCTCATTCCACCAGCCCATCGGTCATTTCATGTTAATCGCATATCCTTTACACTTTCGGCCCACAATCTGTATATATACAATATTCCTTCTTAGTTATTCTCCTGTTACATTACAGGTAATCATATAATCGATGCCATCTCCGTAGTTACATAGCCAGATGAGAGTGGAGACCTTAGAAAAGCCTGATAAGCTAAGAGTGTCTAGCTAGCGAACATGCTTCTTCCTTTATGCTAAGAGCATCCCCAAAGTAGTCTCCCAGGGATGGCCATTAATATGCTCCATAGTTTAGGGTGGGAGAGGAAAGAGAGGATGTTTAGTCCATGCACACTGTCGTTGGCTAACTTTCCGAATATGTTGAAAAAATTGGAGAGCTATTTTAAAATCACAGAAGTAGCCTCAGATTACTGAGTTCAAATCCCTCTCTTTAAATGTTAGAAATAGGGACCAAGGAAGTGATGATGTTTACGAAGTGGCTACATGAAGGGAGAGTCACAAACAGAGTATGTATCTGAAGTCCCAAGACAGAGTGATTTTTCCTTGATGCCAAAATAAATCGTAGTCCTTGTTTAAGAGCAGGCCATGAAGAGCAAGCTCTGTCTCTCACCGAGGCTCTCCTCTGGAGCCAACAGAGCCAATTCCCAGAGAGTCTGAAGCTCCTGCCTCCTGGTCTGGCTTACCTGCATTTGTCTTCACTGGGTCACCCTCCATCTGGTAGCCATGATTCTTAGAATAGTAGCACCAGGGCACACTGATGGGTCCCTGGGGTCTCCAGCAGCAGCCACGCTGTTCACAGGTGGTCTGCAATAAGAGATTTAGTCACAGTAACTCCATTTGTTACTTGAACAGTCATTTACAAACATAATTTTGCACTTGTGATGCCATTTACTTTGTTTTACAAATAAGGGAGCTGATATTTGGAGAAACTGTGTTATGTTCCACTCATGCAGAACTTGTACTCAAAACCAATCTTTCCTTCCAATGTTCTTCTTAGTTACTGTTATTATATAACAATATAGGGACCACAATGCAGTCCACATCTGCCTTCACAATAAAACTGATAAATTTAAATATTCTAAACTACAATATTGGTACATCACAATAACCCAAACTTTCAATTGGAATTCCATATACATAGGTTTGGTCTTTAGAAAACAAAGCATTGGCAATCAACTTGATTCAAAAGCTTTAAGATCAATTTTGCTTTGACTTTTAAATGTGTGATATATATATATGACATCACATTTATTTATTTATTTAGTCTCTCCACTCATCCCAAGGCAGAGAATAATTGTTCCTTGAAATCCAAATAGATTCCAATTCTTATTTAAGCAAGTTTCCTGCTTCATACCATAGTTAATGACCGAATCAAATGGAGACTAAAATGAACACAGTCTTTCTCACCTCACCTAATTTTGGAGAAGCAATGAGGTTACATAGGGAAAAGTACAAAGAAACCTCTTGTCTTGAATGTGGCTAGACCGAGTGTCTTGTATATAGAATGTGGCAAAAACAACAGAGTAGATTAGAGCACAGAAAAGTGGTGTCCCCATCTAGCTGGCTCTCTCTCCCTGGCTCTGTTGGAGCCTCACTCTGGGAGAGGTGAGATGTTTTGTGGACAGACCCACATGGCAAGGGGTTGGGGGAGATCTCTGGCCAATAGCAAGCAAGAAACTGAGGTCTCCACTCTAACAATCTGTGACACATTGAATCCCAGCAACAGTCACATAAATGAGCTTGAGAAGGATCACCCCACAATCACAGCCAACACCATGATGGCAGTCTTCTGAAAGATTCTGAGCCAAAAGCACCCAGCTGAACAAAGGCCAGATTTCTGACCACAGAAACTGTGAAAAAATAATGTATGTTGTGTTAGGCCATTAAGTTTTGGGACCTTTTGTCTCACAGCAATAGATAATTAATAGAAATGCGTCCTGCTACATTATTTTACAGATGAAGAAACTGAGGCCCCTGAGGGAAAGGTTCATAGAGGTGACGGGACCTGCCAGAGGAGACTCAGTTAGCTACTGAGAAGGCTAGGACCAAATCTTCATTCTCTTCTGTCCATTTCCTTTTTTTCTATGGCCTGGAGTGAGCATCTGCTGAACACATTTTCAGGAGGATATGGTTAGCTATATAAAGACTTAGTGTAATGAAATGTTAATATTTATGCCAATAGCCAATATTAAAAATAGAAAAACTATGTCCATCTGTGTTTTATATTGCTGTGGGGTCAGGTGTCACTGTGAACTCAACTTCAACTAGCAGTTTTTGCTTTTTTTCTGTAAAACCCCACTCAGATGAAACTTCAGTATAACAGGAAAAGAGAAGGTGTTGAAAGGGGTATTGAATACAATAGTTCCTGTATGCTCCCCAGAGCTCAATGATTTCTTCATTAAGGTGGAAAGGACAAAGACCAAAGAGTGGCCAACCTGAATACACAGTTCCCGTAGTGGAGCTGAGCAGCTACGAGAAGTGGGAAGAGAAGCAAGCATATCTTATGTAAACACAAGAGTAATCAGTACATGAAACCCAGGAAAGTACTTGTAGAGAGAAGCTCTAAAACATGACAATCTGAATTGGACAGAAAGCACAAGCCACAAATATGCCCCTTTAAGTTGGAAAAAAATGTCTTTTAATTATCATGTCTTAAATACTTAATTTAAAAGATAAATACTTTAAGGATAAAAATGTCTGATTGCATTTAAATTTATAATAGCTAAGTTGCTGTAAGGAGGCACACTCAAAATTTAAGCTCACCAAAGGACTAAGAGTAAAAGTGTTTGATTAAACAGATATCTGAGAAGAATGCTAAACAATGGCTAGTATAAATGTGAAATATCAGACAAATAGACTTGAAGTAAAAATTCATTATTAAAGAGATATTGAAAAACTATATGATGGTAAAAGGTTCAATTCACCATGAAATTTTATATGTAAATAATAATAAGGACTCAAAATATTTACAGGAAAAAAATTTTTTTTTGAAATATGGAACACTTCACCAATTTGCATGTCATCTTTGTGCAGGGTCCATGCTAATCTTCTATGTATTGTTCCAATGTTAGTATATGTGCTGCCAAAACAAGCACTTAGAGGAAAGTTTTAAAGACTGACAAGGTACAATTGAAAAAGATGGTATACATGATGAAATATTTTTAAAGAGGTCCCTTAGTAGCTGATAAAGTAGACAAAAAGTAAAGATATTTTCCTTTTCACATAATGGACATGTAGGCTCCTGCACAAACACAAAGAGAGGCACTGAATTGCTCTCAGAGGTAGAAGCCAGATCCTGAAGACAGTTTAAGATGTAATCAAGCTTTGCTCTACGTATGTCCTTAACTCCTCCAATCCCAGTGCTTCTTCCACTTAAAAGAGAGGAGAAGAAACAAGCATTTTATGCTGAAGTCAGACATGACAGACAAAGGAAAACTCTAGAGCCCAGTCTTAGCATGAACATAAATGCAAAAGCTTAGATAAAAAAAAAAACTACTCAGCTTTTTCAGAAATCAGCAACATAGTCAATAATGACTGAGTACTTTTTCCAGAGATACAAGGATCTTTTAATATTAAAAAAAAAATCCTCTTGTGTGTCCCTCACAATAACTTACTAAAGGAAGTAAACCATATAATCATTAAAATGCATCAGTTGATCATGATAAAATTCTTAGCAAATTGGGAACAAACAGTAACTTCCTTAGTTGACCAGTGGGTATCTATCAAATGGTGAAATATTATAAACATTCCCTTTAAGATCAAAAGAAAAATCTATGTGACCCATGTTTATGAATTCCTATAACTAAAACTATATTCGAGGTCCTAATAATGCAATATGACAAGAAAAGGAAGAAAACTTATTATAGACTGAAAATAAAACCAAATTATCATTACTTTCAGACATAATATTGAGATAGAAAACCAAGAAAAGTTATAGAAACAAGTAAAAAATAAGTTAATTACTATTTTATATAAGACTAGAGGCCCCATGCATGAATTCATGCACCGGTAAGGTCCCTTAGCCTGGCCTGCAATTGGGTCAGATCGGGGCTGTTTTGCTCAGTCCTGATCGGGGCTGATGGAGGCTGAGGAGTGACCAAGAGAGGGTTCCAGGGTGTGTCCAGCCCATCTTGCCCAGTCCCAATCGGCTGGACCCTAGCAGCAAGCTAATCTACTACCGTAGTCAAGTGTCTGCCCCCTGGTCGTCATTGTGCATCATAGTGACTGGTGGAACAGTTGAACAAATGATCAAATGAACAGTCAAACACTTAGCATATTACGCTTTTATTACATATGATCCTTTATTTTCTTCTTAAAGTTGTAATTTTTTTCTGAATGCAAGGGGCAAAAGGTTAACAGTTGCCACTATCAAGATGGGTGAGGCTACAGGAAGAGCAGGTTTCGGCATGTGCACAAGTGTAGGAGATCAAAAGTTCAATTTTGACATGTTTGTTTTGAGGTGTTTATTAGACATCCAAGTGGAGATGCTGAATTGGCAGTTGCATAGATAAATGTGGAATTCAGGGAAGTGATTTAGGGTAGAGGCATTCCTCTGATACGTAGGCACATAGGGGTTACTATTTATAGACATGAAATCATCAAAAAATTGAGTGTAGATAGACAAGATCTTTATAACATTTAGATGTCATATAGAAAAGGAGGAATCATGTGGTGGTTCAAAAGGTACAAATTTCAAGTTATAAAAGAAAAAAGTCATTGGGGATGTAATATATAGCATAGTCACTTTAGTTATAAAATTATGTATTCCATATTTGAAAGTAGATCTTAAAAGCACTCATCACAGTAAAAAACAAATTTTGTAACTATGTATGGTGGCAGATGTTAACTAGACTTAGTGTAGTGACCATTTGCCATATATACAAATATTTAAATCATCGTTTTGTACACCTGAACCTAATTTAATGTTCTGTCAGTTATACCTCAGTTTAGGATAGAGAGGATGAGAGAGCAGAGAGAGAGGGAGAGAGAGAAGGATGAGGAAGAGAGAGAGAGAGAGAGAGAGAGAGAGAGAGAGAAATGCAAAGGAAACTGAGAAAAGTAGTGAATGGTATCCTCTGAAGAAAGAGTGTTCCCCTAAAAATGACTCTCATGTAAAGACTTAGGCTCTATCAGCAGCTACAATTGAGCTGAGAATTTCTTCTCCTGTTCAGGTTTAAGCTACCCATACTTTAGTTCTTTTTCAATCATCCATCTTGCTTCAAGGTATGGTGTTCATAAATTATGTTTCTGTGGACTGATGGCTAAAGCTGGTGACTCACTCAGGCCCAGTCTCCTAGCATCTGTCTCAGACAACACAATGAAGTGTTTGGATGTGACCCAATAGACAATAGGTGCTCAAATTAGGTAGAAATATAATAAAAGCAACACATTCAAGACAGCAGTTTCAGTCAGGCATATAATGGAATAAATGACGATAAACTGGATTCAGAAGAGATGCTGAGAGGCTACTGGAACAATCCAAGCACACAGTCGCAATGGCCTAGTGTGATCGCCGTGAGAATGGGAATCAAGTGCTTGCTCTGGACAACATTGTTAAACTAACTAAAATACATGTAACACTGGTCAAAGGGATAAAGGAGAGAGCCAGGCAAAAGTTCAGCTGTTTCTGCCCCAGAGACTAGAAGCACAATGGAATTACTAACCGAAATCTCATAGCTGAGAAGGGAGAGCAGATTTGGTGAGGAGTTCAATACCTCACAGCATTTATTAAAAGCTCCTATAATAAAACACTAAAGAAACATTACTGAAACAGCAATGACATCTGAAGTTTACCAATAGCCAGGAACATGATGGGGTATAGAGGGAGAGGGAACAGACTTAGGATGAATTGGTCCTCTAGGTGGGCTTCCAAACAACCCGTTTCCTAACACACAATGACAAAAGCAAGTAAATGGGGATGGATCAACTTGCTGCAAGCCTAGTGTGTCAAACATCCTGTTTAGGTATGACATGTCTGGACCACAACTTCCCATCCCTACTGACAAAGCAGCACGTTAAAGGACCTCTATTCTCTCTCTACCCCTTCCTCTCTCTCTCTCTCTCTCAAAAAAAATAAATAAATAAATAAATAAATAAAAATAAATGGGGAAAAAATATCCTTAAGTCAGGATTAACAAAAAAATAAAAATAAAGGACCTCTATCATCAAGCTCCAATCTACCTTTCAGTCTTAAACATTATCTCCTCTCTGGCACCCACCCTATATCTTGGCCACATGGGACCATTCACTGCCATATATGTGTCCCACAATTTCCTCTTCTGTCACTTAATTTACATCATCTCTTGTATCTTGAAATCACTTTCCATTCCTCCCATCTCTGTCAAAATCCTATGTATCTCTAATTACATGCTTTCACTTTCTCCTTGATAATAATCTCTTCTGTTTTCTGATCTCAGGAGTATTTTTCCCCCCAGATTGTATGAAGTTTTATTTCACTTCCCAGTTATTTACTTACTTAGCCTATATCCTCTAATAGAATCTATGAAAAGAGGCCTGGTGCCTATACTAGAGGCCTGTTGTACAAAATTCGTGCACAAGTATTGTAGAATCCCTAGGTCTGGCTGGCAATCAGGGCCAATCAGGTTCCTCCCACCTCCCGCCTTCCTGCTTCCTCCTTTCCCCACTCCCTTAGCACCCTGCAGCCACCACTGGCCACCCACCATGTTCTGTTCCACCCCCTGGTGATCAGTGCACATCATAGCTAGTGATTGAATTCCCACTCTCCTGGTCAAACTCCCGAGGGGACACTTTGCATATTGGTATTTTACAAATATATGTTTAAGTGAACATAGCTATTACCCCAAATACTAAACTTTGTGGCATCTGGCCCCATACTGAAGTGGTTTTGTCTTTGTTTTCCTTTCTATTTTGTATCTTCTTTTTCCTTTGTTTCTAAAGCCTTTTTGTCTTTCCTTGTTTCTCATTACATGATTTCATTCAGTCTCTAATGGCTGCTCCAAGCTGCTGTGTATGAAAAGCCAACCTCTGATACTTGACTCCAAAGGTCTTCCAATTCTAAATCCATCTTTCTATTCAGCCTCATTTCCTCCTAACTTCAAGCCTCTACACTAATCCAAGAGAAGGTCAGGGTAAGATGCCTGATGAAGGAAGAGGAGTGAACACCGTAATAGTCTTGATAAACTGGTCTTACCAGGATGTCACCTATCATAGCAGGCTTGCTGCCCTTCTGTGACCTAACAGCTGGTCTAGGCGCTGCTTTATCCTGTCCTGGGGATTTCCTGATTATTAACTATCTATCAGATTGGATCTCTCTTGCCTTCTACACAGCCTCTGGGCTTCCTGACTCATTTTGTCCCATCATTCTGCTCCAATCTGCAGTGCATAGTCATTTTCTTTATCTGGTTCTGTTTGCCTTATCCACCTTAACTTTCAGTTTCCTCAGAGGCCCAGCCCACCTAATCCCATGTCTTATCTCTAATCTGTTCTCTCTTTGCTGCCTTAGTTCTCTCTGACTCAGCATATATGCCATTTCAGTCAATACCAAAGGCTCAAATTGTAACAGTTTCCATAATTCCCATCTCTGTGACTTTGTCCGCATTATGGGCTGAATTGTATCCCCAGAAAAGATAAGTTGAAGTCATAATACTCATTACCTCAGAATGTGATCTTGTTTGCAAATAGGGTTGTTGCAGATGTAATTAGTTAATATGAGATCATACAGGAATAGAGTGGACTCCTATTAAAATGGGAAATGTGAATGTATGGAGAGAAAGAGAGAGAGAGAGAGAGAGAGAGAGAGAGAGAGAGAGAGAGAGAGAGAGAGAGAGAGAGAGATGTCAAGAACTGACAGTCATCACCAGCAGCTAAGAGAGAATCAAGGAACATATTCTTTCTCAGAGCCCTCTAAAGGAACCAACCCTACCCATGCCTCAATTTTGGACATCTATCCTCCAAAAGTGATAGGAAAAAAATAGAAAATGTCTTTTGCTGTTAGAATCTTTATTTTAGATAAGCCAAAACATAAACTCTCAAACACAGCATAGACTGCCCCAGCCCACTGGCAACAGGATGGTCACAGAGTATACCATGTGCCCACACATCACCTGTAGTGAGT